ATGGAGGGATTGGAGGGTCTGGGATGACCTAGTTGGTGGATCCTTCAGGCCTATCATCAACAGAGCAGGCATGATATGTGCGACCTTCCTTTAGGGAAGACACGTCTTTAGCTACCAGTGAATATTGAATATCTGCGCTGTGCACTGGGTAGCTGGGTTGTAGTGAGTAGGGACTTTACTCACATTCGGATTAAGGTGCTTACCACTAGTACAACCTCTCTATCAAAATGCAAGACATTTTTTGGTTTTACATAGGGCATAAAAAGCGTCTTACTTTTTGTTACGGAGGGAATAAACTCTTAACATACAATGTGGCTACTACTACTCATCTGAACTTCAGTTTTGACACAACTAAGCTGGCTCTCCATTACCTGTCAGTGTATCAGAGGATTGTTGGCACAACTGAGCTAGCTCTGCTCTCTTTTACGCTCTTTTGGCCTTCATTATATGACCCGCAGTCGTGAGCACCACTACATTGTATGGGGCTTTACTTGAACCTGTTTCCTTATCTTGAGTTCCCGATATTACTTGAAAAGGACATCGTATGACATAGGATTAAGTTAGTATGCGATGCCATCATATTTCATCCTCTCCTATAAATACTGTATATATTTTGCTTTGCACGTACAGGTTAAACTAAAAACTTTGACTTCCATTTTGCAGGGGAAATGCAATGACCATGAAGCGCATGCTGGAAACATCATTTCCTGGCATTAATGTTTTCTTGCATAATTATCCGCCAGCTTTCCCCAAGCGGGTACTGAGCAAAATCATGCCAGTTATTCAAGTCGGAGCCATTGCAACAATAATGGCTGGTGACCAGATTTTCCCCAAACTTGGCATTACTCCACCTCCATTGTTTTACTCATTGCGTGCCAATAGATTTGGAACCATGGCGACAATTTGGCTCATTGGCAATTTTGCCCAGTCTTTCCTACAAAGTTCTGGTGCCTTTGAAGTTTACTGCAATGGAGATTTGGTATGTTTCCTACATCAGACACACCATTCTCTTTCACTTCTTAACACATAAATTGCTTTCCTGCATGCTTGCATCATAAATTAGGCTTCATGAGATTCTAGTGTGCGCCCTTTCTCTTTCACTTCTGTTAGCACATAAATTGCTTTTCGACCCACTTCTTTTGACTACAAGTTCATTATATTGAAGGATTACTTCCACAAACAAAATATCACCCTTTTGCCTTGCTGTTTTATCACAGAGATGCTATCTTCCATAAACCGCTAAATGGATAAGGCTTGCTTTACCAACATGACTTGAACAGTAATACACTTATACATTTCTCTCGCTGAAACTTGTTCCACCTTCTCAGGTTTTCTCGAAGTTAACACATAAATTGCTTTTCTACCCACTTCTTTTGACTACAACTACAAGTTCATTATATTAAAAGATTGCTTCCACAAACAAAAAGTCACCCTTTTGCTTTGTGTTATCGATGTTCTTTTTCTCATGAGATTCTGTTGCTCTTCCTAGAAAAACTGCTACATGGAAAAGGCTTGCTTTACCGACATGACTTTAGCAGTAATACACGCATATATTTCTTGCTTACTGAAACTTGCTTCCACCTTTCCAGGTTTTCTCGAAGTTAGCCGAACAGAGGTTCCCTAGCGAGTTTGAGCTGCGCGATCTCATCGGCAGCAGGCTGCCACCTTCTCCATTCGGGAAAAACATGGGAAACGTCTTGTCTTAGTCGATGATCTCAGGAAGAATATCGTGCGCAGGACCGATTTATGTCTAGTTCTCTACTAAGGTATTTTATGGTTAGCTAGCTGATGTCGATCCTATCGAAACTCCACAGCTTGCCTGTAAACACTAGCTTCCGAATATGTGTGTGGTTTGTAAATGCCCTAAAAAATAACTTGCACGAGACAGTGACTGACAGTGCGATAATGCTGTATGAACACCTCCCACTATAATCGTGATTGCCTGATGCTGCTATGCTACTGGCAAAGGTCTGAAAATCTTCGCACTGAAGTTTAAGTCTTGTTTATTTTTTGGAGTAAATTCTTCTTGTTTGTGCTTGTTTTCTCAGTGGGTCATGTATGTTGATTCTTTGCATGCATCGTGCCGCTCGGACTACTGTCCGATTCATCGCAGAATTGACATTTAGACGAATGTGTACAGCCCATGGGCTACTTTGAACTCGCAGAGTATTTTGGCGGGAGTAGGAGTTAACGAATTTTTGGACTCTGGAAAAAAAAAATCTGAAACGTGAGTTAATGAATTTTTGGACTTCGAAGTTCGAACTCACCTTATCTTGTCGTCTTCTCTGCGAGACCATGGGCTAGACAGCTAGACGGTACCCGCTCCTTTGTGCACCAAACCCATGGGCCAGCCAGAGACGCATGGACCGAGTCCATGTGCACCAAACCCCCTCTTTCCCATCCACCACAGATCGCTCACGTCACGGCCAGAAGGACAAAGCTGCGCAAAACCCTGCCCCTCTTCGCCTCCAGATTCCAGAAGCAAGCAAGATGCTCCGACGCGTCGCCGGCGCCGCCGCGGCGCCCCTCCGACGCTGCCTCTGCATGGCGGCCTCGCGCCCTCCCTGGGCCCTCACCTACAGGATGGCGGCGCTGGGCGCGTCGGGGGCGCCGTCGCCGGCCGCGCGCGCGTCCTTGGACCTCCACCAGCCCCCCTGCGTCTCCCAGCTCTCCGTCCCCACCCACCTGGCCGACGGCATGGACCTGGCCGCCGCGACCATCCAGGCCGCGAGCTGCGACGGGCTCCTCCTCCTCGACTTCGCCGACACCGGCGACTGGCCCGAGGCCATCCGCGACTGCGGTGGCAGCAGCAAAGCGATGCCCGGATTGGCCGCGTGCGCCGCCGCCGTCGATCCGGGCGTCAGGCGCTTCGTCTGCAACCCTCTCAGCGGCCAGCTGTTCCGCCTCCCCGTCCCCAGCATGGATGCCGCGCTGACGACCACGCCCTTCGGCCTGCTCACCCAATCCGACGACCCCCACGGCCCGCCTGACAGGTTCGTGGTCGCTCAACTCTGCCTCCGGGAAAGGGACGGCCAAAGGGTCGTGCGCCGCTTTCGGTCCGAAACAGGGGAGTGGGACGAGCCGCCGCTGTTCGTCCCGTCCGCGGCCCCGGCTTGGCGCCCAATGCCGAACCACGAGGTGGTGGCGTTCGGCGACCGGCTGTGGTGGGTCGACCCTTTCTTTGGTGTCTTCTCTGTCGACCCATTCAGCGATCGGCCGGAGCATGGCTTCGTCGCGCTGCCGCGCTCGCTGCCCAACTTTGACATGGACGCGCCGCTCATGCTGTTCCGGCTCTTGGGTGTCAGCGAGGGGAAGCTGCGCTATGTCGAATTGACCACCAAGGAGCCGTTTATGCTCTACTCGTTCTCGCTCGACGACGAGGGGTCCTCCTGGAAGCTAACACATGAGAAAAGATTGAACCTGGTCTTGTCTGACAAATCCATACCTAGGGAATGTGAAATGCCGTGGATTTCTGCAATTGATCCATTCAATGCCAACATTTTCTATTTCACACATGGTGACCTTGTCTGTGAACTCGACATTGATAAGGGGGAGACTGGGAGTAGTTCTTTTCCAGACAGCATCACCTCTCGGAGCTACAGCTCTGCCTTCTTTGTGCCTGTAATGCTCCCAACATGGCTTGAATCATACAACCTCCCGTGTGCAGGTATGCTTCTTCGACATGCATGCTTGATTCATTTGAATATTAAAGCTCTGAAGTTTCCTAGGCTTTAATTTTAGGGTGCACAAGTTGTAGTTTAACATATTTTTCAAATCATGTGTGTGGAACCCTTGTGCACAACATGGATATATTTGTAATTGACACAAATGGTATCTGTATTTAAGTTTCTGAAGGGGGTGATTGGGTGGCTGATATCTTAAATATTGTGTAGAATTAATAATTGCATATAGACCCATACGTTTTAGAACTAAACTGGCCATCATTAGCAGCGATTTATTCTAAAATGCTGCAGGCGGAATTTTGTAGTACTAGAGAATCTGGAGTATTTTTTTGATTGCAATGGATATGGGATTGTATATCATGTTGAGTAAAAATGTGCTCTCTATTTAATGTCAACATATATCTCTATGCAGCTGTCATGTTAAATGCCTAAGCGGTATTTTCTGATTCAATTCTTGGTGTAATGAAGAAAGATATATAGTTCTCATTGTTCTGTATCATTTGTGTTTAATTTCCTGTATCTATGGATATAACTGAAGGAACACTTTCGAGAAAGGCGACCAATGGAACAAGGAAGACTTTGGCAGACATGCTGGTTCGTGTTGACTGTTGACAAAGACCAGAAAAAAAAATCGAAGCACGCCAGCTAACTTATCTTTGGTACTTTCTCTTGAACAGTTCTTCTTGTTTGGGTACTCTTCTTATTTTCACTTGATATTTAATCATATTTTTTCTTTCTCCTGTTCATGATTCTGCATATTTCCTATACTGCCCGTTCAACGTGTTACTTGCAGGAGTAAGTTTTTTTTTGAGAATCCTTGCAGGAGTAAGTAGTTTGGTCAAGTCACCATGTCGAACTGCTACCCTAATTTCCGATCCTTATACCATAATAATATTGTCATCCTTAATTCCAACTCCTATGCTGCATCAATAGTTTTTTCACTGGTACTGTCTTCAGTGCTTTGTACAGGAGTATTGTCTGAACTACTCTACTGCCATGCTGTTCTGACTTATACCCAATACCCTAGACATAATTAAAATGAGTAAAAGGCTAAAAGGTATCCTGCCTTCTCACCTTGATCAGCTTTATTCTTTCACTAGTCACAAATCCTGATATGTTTTTTTTTTTGCGAAACAAATCCTGATATGTTGTTACCAAATCAAGACTGAACTGAAGTACTCCCTCCGTTCCTAAATATAAGTCTTTTTAGAAATTTCAAATGGACAACAACATACGGATGTATGTAGACATATTTTAGAGTGTAGATTCAGTCATTTTGCTTTGTATGTAGTCACTTATTGAAATCTCTAAAAAGACTTATATTTAGGAACGGAGGGAGTATGTTTCTTGCTAGTATCTCGTACGAAGTAACCTTGCCGTGTCTGAGATTTACAAAACAGACATACAGTGTTGTATTCTGGTATGAGTATATGACATGTTCTTTGTAGAAAAGTATCCAAGAGAATATTCAGGTATTTCTGTTTTACCGTTACTCTTTTGCCTTGCAGATTCCTTGCAATGGACCGACAACTGAGCTGATGGTGGTACTGGAAGACATGAACTCTCATTTTGGGGAAATGCTGGGACAATCTTGGCGTGTTCCGCTTGCTGATGCGCTCCCTGAACCATGGTCCATTCGATCGGCAATTTAGATGGAGCAGTCTAACACATGCACTGTTACTTGCAAGACACGATGCTTATCTTCTCCGCAGAATGTTATTGCACCTATCAAAAGATATGTTTGATCAGATTGTTTTGGTGCAATAGGTCATTTACCTGGTAATGATGATAAGAAATGCATGCGCTCTCTTTAATCTGGAATACAATGACCTTAAAATACTCTTTCCAATGGAACGTGGGCAATTTTTCTGGCACGTACGGAAAACGATATGTTCGCTGTTCGTTGTAAATGTTAGTTTGGTTCAATTGACCGGAGTTTAGGCCATTATTCCTACTAGCACAACTTACTTTCTGAACCTAATAACGTGTAACCCATCAAATAACCTTTGTATTTGGCTTAATGCTACACGTTATTCCACAGAACATTGCTATTCTAAAGAGTTAAATTCACCCATGGTCACTGTATTTGATCATAAAGTTCACTTTGGTCACTGGATTGCGGAATACCCAGATTACGGTGACCAATATCACATTAGTTAATAGCGCAAGTCACCGCGTATGCTGCATCGTCGTATTTGTCCCACGTGGCGTACGATTTGACCTTTTGACCAGCCACACAAGCGAGGCGGGTTTTTCTTGCACTAGCGAGTTGATTTGGGGGGCTATTTTGCAAATTTTCCATTGTATTAAAACCCCCTCTGCCGTCCTCCAAATCCCTAGCCTTATTCCTCTTTCGCCGCCGGCCACCAAATCCCTAGCCTTATTCCTCTTTCGCCGTCGTCCTGCCGTCGCCCGCCCAGCACCGCTCATCGCTGGCGTCACCGCTTCTACAACGAGCTCTTCGTCCTCTGAAGCATGTCTGCATCGAGCTCCTGCCGCTCTTCTCACCGTGGCGGCGGTCCATTCATCCCCCTCATCGAGTGCCCGCGGGAGGGGGTGTGGTTGCCTGGTGAAGAAGCATGTTTCCGGCACTGAGGATCACCCTGGATGGGTGTACTACCGCTGCCCCGGCCATGGTGTAGGTTCTCTGACATTTGTTCTTCGAAAGCTAGGGTTTTTGCCACATTTGGTCTCTGATTTTGCATTCAATTTGACATAATGGATGCAATTTCTGGCATTGGGAGAGGGAGTATGTTTCTTTCTTGGTGGAGAAGATGTTTCTCACTGGAGGTAATGCTGTGGATGCAATTGGGTGGTCTGAAGATAGGAGAGAAGAGCTGGAGCAGCGCAATGAACAGAGAAGAGCTAGAGGGATAATGGCAGTAGGATTCAGGGGTTCATGCTCTGAGGAGAGGATGAGTGAATCATTGTTGCGGGTTAGCAGGCAGATTGTTCTTCTGTTGAAGATAGCCGTGGCAGTAGGTGTGCTTCTGTGTGTGCTGTGTGTGATGCTGGTGATGAAGAAGTGATGCAAGTGCTGGTTGAATTGTTGGTAGTATGAAGAAGCTGATTTAGTATGAAGTGATCTTAGTCATGCAAGTGTCCTCTTTTGGTTATGTAATGAGATGATGTTGGCTGTGGTAGGTGTGCTTCTGTAGGATTGGTTATGTATTGATGCTAGTAATGTAATGAAACTATGTAGTGGAGAAGTGTTCTACTGCTAATCAAATATGTTGTTGATCAATCTATGTTGCATATTATGTCTTTCTGTTGGAAAATATATGATCACAGTTGCTTTGTTTGCATTATTGTATTGTCATTTGACAAAATGATAAGTGGTAAGTGACAAATCAGAAAATGTTGGCAAAATGATAAGGATGCCAAAGATGATCACCAATACATATGTAACAAAGATGATCACCAGGCACTAATGTGAAGCACAAAATTGGTAGTACAAGCAACATTGATGATCACCAGTACAAGCAACAAAGATGATCACTAGTACAAGCAATACATATGACAAGCAACAAAGATGATCACTAGTACAAGCAATATATATGACAAGCAACATATATAGCAAGCACAACATATCACCAAGATAAACAAGATAGTAAAGATCCCAACTTCACCAGAAGCACATGTCTAACAAGCATAACAACAAGGTTAAGTTCAACACTGCCACACCACCAAATTTAAGTTCAACATGACAAGAAACACCAAAATGATGGACTAGTTCACCATAAGAACTTGATATAGACCAAACTTTCTACTTCCTAGGCTCTCTCAGCTCATCAAACATGCTGACCTTTCTGGATTTCTTGCTTCTAGAGCCACCTCTCATGTCATGTGCACTAGAAGAGGCCCTCTTAAGACTGTACCTGTTGTGCCGATCTTCCTTTCTTTTGGCAGCAAGCTTAGAAGCTTTTCTCTTCCTTGCCTCCTCTCTAGTAGCTGCTAGCTCTACTGCTTTCTTCTCTCTTTGTTGTAGTTTAATTGCTCTCTTGGCTTTAGCTACTTCCTTCTTCTTTGCAACATTAGCAACCCTTTTCTCTTGTGTTTTTTGTTTCTTTGCTTCTCTTTCTATTGCTTTCTTCTTTGCAGCTAGGTCTCTCTTCTCTTGTGCCTCAGCAGCTCTCTTCTCTGCTTGTAACGCCCCGGATACAACTTTCCATATTCGTAACTCCAACTCTTGCCTTTTCCGGAGATGCGATATGATATTTCCTTTGTGGTTGGGTTTTTGTCTTTTGTTTTGCATTTTGTTCATGTCTTGCTTTTCTTCTCATAGCATCACGCACATTGCATCTGCATGTTTTCATAAACTTGCATTCGCTCGTAGTTGCCGCTTCTTCCTTGTCCCTGTTGACCCCTCTCAGATCAACCGGACCGCTCTCTTCTCTCTCTTTTCCGAGCCCATCAAAACCCCTTGTCTCCATGGCGTTTTGCCAAACCCCCCTTGCGCGCGTCCGAAAACTGCCCCGAACCAGAACCGTTCAATCATCACCGTTGCATTCAGATCATCCCCAAATATCTACAAAACATCTCCGTTTTCTTAACTGGACGTCCTAACCTATTTATTTACGACTGCCCGATTGTAATCGAACGGACTGGATAGCCCCTAACCTAATCCCCTTGCTATATAAACTAGGCCCCAACCCTAAATTTTTGGATCAATGTCCCATCCTTCCGTGTCCGCCGCCGCCACTGTTCTCTCGGGATCCATCCCGATCCACCTAGCCCCTTTCCTCGTGTTCCAAATCGAACCAACCCACAGCCGCGCCGCTCCTCGCTTTCAGCGCCGCCCGCATGCCCCCCTGCCTACTGCCGCTGCCGCTCCAGCCAAGCTCTCCTCGTGCCCTGCAGCCATGGCGCCCGAGGCCTCCTGTCTCCTCATCGCCAGATCCCCGCGCGCCTGCAGTGCATTTGCCCGAGACCCCGAGCAGGGGCGCTCGGCTTCGTCTCCTCCTCCCGTGCGCCCCCATCTCGCGGAGCCAGCCGTGCCTTCCCGCCGGCGACGAGCAGCAGCACCCGAGCCCCTGTGCCGTGCTCCTCCTCTGCCCATGCGCCCGAGCTCGCCTGTTGTCGCGTGCCTCCAACCTCGACTCCTCTGCTCAGGACGTCCTCGCCGTTGACCAGGCAAAACCAGCTAATCCGGCGCCTCTGCTCCCTTCTCCTCGCTGATGGCTTCGCCCGCACCGGGGCACTCGAGCAGCCGCAGACCAAGCCGCCTCCCGCATGGCGTCGCTGACCACCTCTCCGGCAAGGCCCGTTCCCTTTTTCTCCTTCCTCCAATTCTCTCGCTCTCTATCTGATTTGAGTTGCGCCGCCATTCTTTTGCAGGAGCCACCTCCGCCGCCCTTGCCCATTCCTGGCCGGATCCCGCCGCCTGAGCCCCGTCCCCGGCCACCGGTGCCCTCGCCGGAGACCATCCGAGCCATGCCCAGCCACTCAAGCCCCGTGCCGCGGCCTCTGCTTCTGCTACAACGAGCGCTGCCCGCGTTGACTGCCTCCGCATCGACCGAGCGGCCTCCCCTGCTCGCGTGTGGTCTGCGCCCCTCTTCTGGGCCTTGGCCCAGGGTGAGCAGCGCCCGCCCCCTCCCCTGTGCACCTTTCGG